TATATATATATATATGTATACATATATTTATATATATATATATATACTGGCATGCGAAAAATAATGTAAGACCACTTCCTTATCGGGCGATATAAAGACACATTATATTTATATGTGCATGAACATGTACATCTGCACACACATGTACCCTTGCAACGCACTTACAGGTACGTTAAGGTACATACCTGTCCCACATGTTGCACTACACCGGAAAACTCAAGTCCGGGTACAATACTGCCACTTATTTCGCCCGAACTTATCGGTGAGTACAGACCAAAGCCCGTGAAGATATCCGCAAAGTTTAGACCCACCACTTCCACTTTAACACAGACTTCTCCATAACCAGGTTTATGAATATGATTACACTGCAGTTTGAGCGATTCGAGATTGCCGCCGCCGCTGGGCATTACCCATTGTTGCCTGGTTAGTGTGTTTTGGTCATGCCTAGACATAGTATGATTAGTGCAATATTATCAGAACATATCCGACAAGCTTCATCTATAATATATGGTAGTATTTCCGCATCTAAATACAAGTAGGCATAGCTATCATAGCTAAATATTATTTACTATACAATTTACAAAAACTAAAACAAGAAGACTATGAATTCTGACCATATTTATATATATTTATTTTCGTTGTTTTTTGGTTTGTTTTTAAAAACAAACAAAAAACAAAAAGTATTATCAATATTAGACCAAATATTTACCTATATGTATTTACATTACAAGGTCTGAATATGTATGACGAAAAAAAGAAAAGTAAACTACATACATTTCATACTGTAAAAATATTTACATAAACATGCAAAATCATGAAGAATGTGTAAATTTGTATACAGATGCAATACAAAAGCTTGTATTTATTTTATTTATCAGCGTTCGAATCTTTCCGATCATCATCGCACAACTGCAAACTTTGATTTCTTGAGCAAGTATAGATTGAACATGTCGTACGGCAGAGGTGGTGGGTCTAGCAGTAATGGTTTCAACGAAGACCGAGAGAGTATGTTGCAATCCGAACGGCGTGAGCGTCTGATGGAGAACGAGAACGACCAAATTGCGATCGAGTTGTCGAACAAGGTAGGTGGAATATTGGTATTTACCACACATAGTGTACCTGGTATTAGCAATTATATACCTTGTGTATGTTTTTTATACATTGCATGAACACTATGATCATCTTGTAAGCAAAACATACATCGTATATAAGTATTGTATACGTCATATAGTCATTTTATAAGCATTTTATACGTGGTAAAAGCATTTTATGTATTTTATAAGCGTAATGCACACTTTGTTTGACTATCTTGTACGTTTATGTACAGATTGAGTGACTATAATAGATCTATTTTCATCCCCTACTTTCGAATGCTGCGATGAGGGTCTACTTCACGCGCGGTGGTGTTAACAGTCATTGTGTCTATAACTCCTTGGATTTTTAAGTTTGCTATAATATACATACATATACATCCTGAGTCG